CCCCCCCCAACCCCCGAACTTCATCACGCACTTATCATATAAAATAGTATACGCAACACGTGCGGACAGCAGGCGGTATCACTCAGGCGGCTGCGCCGCCCTCGTGAGTAATCGCCTGCTTTCCGCATTAGTTACGTACTGTACTATATCACGTGCAATGATTAACCTTATTTTATTGTCGTCACTGGAGCGCAAGGAGCGCCTCGTAGTGGGGCAACTTCGAAGTATAGATAGTTGTGACTTCACTATCCCCATCCGAGACAATTTTTTGATCATTTTTGCGCGGTAAATAAAATTTAACAATTCAGAATTTTTCACGTATTGAGTCCTTGCAGTCCAAATGATCTGTATTAATAATGACTTCATAAAAAATGTATGGAATTCAATATTGCCCCAACATTGTCCCAACATTAGAAACCAACATTGTCCCATCATTGGTAGCCAACGTTGGGACAATGTCGGCTACCAACATTGTCCCAGCATTGGCAGCGAACATTGTCCCAACATTGGCGGCCAAAATCGCCCCAACGTTAATCGCTAACATTGTCCCAAATTTGGTAGCCAACATTATCCCAACCTTAGCCACCAATATTGACCGAACCTTGGCCGCCAACATTGTCCCAATGTTGGCAGTCAGCCTCGCGCCAACGTTGGCAGCCAACATTGCACCAACATTGGCAGCCAACATTGCCCCGACATTGGCAGCCAACATTCCCCCAACGTTACAATATTTTCTCTTCCAAACCAAAAAAATAGAAATTTCGAATTTGCCAAATACAATCCTTTTATTCAGGAGCAACAAATACAAAATAACCCATTCATTTCTCATCAATCCTCTCATTTGCCGTCCCTTCTACTCAACTCCTTGATCAACTCCAGAATCCGCTTCCTCGCGCTCTTCACCTCCCCCTCCACCCCTTGGAAGTCGCATCCTCCCACTTCTCCAGCCCCTGCCAAATGTCTCAAAATAACTTCAGCAAAACAGAGAACGAAGATCCCACAGTCGTAGGAATTCTCCTGCTGCGGACACTTCACCTCGACAAAGCCTTTCCCCTTCCCCCCAGTCAGGAACTCCAGGATTTTCCTGGAGAATGCCCTGGCGATGGTCCCGTTGAAGCCCCCGCTGGAGTCCAAGTGGAAGCACGAGCCCTCGGGCTTGGAATAAACTAGGAGACTCCAGTGGGCACCACCCGGGTCCTCCCTGTCGTCGCAGTTGTTCACCGGAAAGAACACGAAATCGGTTTCCTGGGTTATCCTGGAGTCCAGGATGGCTCCATAGTCCTGGACGTCCATGAGCTTCAAGAGCTGGCTCAGTTCAGGGCTCGAGAAGACGATGTTCTCGGGGGATTCTTTGGTTTTCTCGCGCTCTAGGTAGTCGAAGTAGAAACCGATGATGGTGTCGTTGAGCCATGAGTGGTTTTCCAGGGTTTGAAGGTCATTTTTACGGATGAGGACGTCGTGGTAACTTAGGATGATGTCCTGGGGGCTCGACATGAGTCTGGATTGGTGGAGAACATCGGGAATGATTAATTTGATCCAATTAATCATTGCCTTTCGATTTTTTTTCGCATTTTGTTTCGTTCTTTCATTTCATGATTTATGTCAAATTGATGTCTAAATTCAGAGTTGAATTTTCCAAATCGTTTTTTTTATAGAAAAAATAAGTGAAAAATGATCTTATCGCAAGGTCCGGATGACCTTGAAGTTCAGGGCCATCTCTTGTCGATTTTTGTTCTGAGAAATTAAATCACTGCGGCTGAGAGAAACGGGCTTTTTTAGTTTTTTGATATCAATAAGAACTTTTTTAAAAATAATATCATTAAGGAATGGACGGAAAATGATTGATCAGCCCCGATGATTAATCTCGCTTTATCATCGTCACTGGAGCGCAAGTAGCGCCTCGTAGTGAGTCAACTCCGAAGTGTATATCCCTATAGGGAGTTGTGACGTCATGATGCCCTCCCAAGACAATTTTTGATGATTTTTATAAGGTAAGCGAAATTATAAATATAGGGAATTTCTGATCAAAAACCCCGTGACGTAACTATCAGTGCTCACGAGGGTCATACCTTGCGAGGGTCAAACGTCGTAAGGGTCATAACTCGCCAGGGTCAAACGACAGAGTACAGGCAGGACACTCTCAAGGGTCAACTGGGAGAGGCAAGGAGGGCACGGGTCAAACGGGAGAGCTTTCTCATATATTTCGCTCGACATATGATCGTTTGACCCTTGCGATTTTCCTGCCTGCTTCTCCTGGTTGAGCCTCATGACCATTGGACCCTTGCGATTGTTCTGTTTGCCTCCCCTGGTTGACCCCTGTGGTCGTTTGACCCTTGAGATTGGCCTGTCTGCCTCTGTTGTTTGACCCTTGCGAGGTATGACCCTCGCGAGGCAAAATGGGAGAGCCTTCTAACTATTTCGTTTCATTTATGACCGTTCGACCCTTCGACGTATGGATGATAAAAAACGGTAAATAGTTGATCAAAAACCCCCTGACGTAACTATCAGTGCTCACGAGGGTCATACCTTGCAAGGGTCAAACGTCACAAGGGTCATACCTCGCGAGAGTCAAACGTCATCAGGGTCATATCTTCCGAGGATCGAACGTCGCAAGGGTCATAACTCGCAAGGATCAAACGACAGAGTACAGGCAGGACACTCTCAAGGGTCAACTGGGAGAGGCAAGGAGGGCACGGCTCAAACGGGAGAGCTTTCTCATATATTTGGCTCGATATGTGATCGTTTGACCCTTGTGATTTTCCTGCCTAGTTGAGCTCCGTGATCATTGGACCCTTGTGATTGCCCTACCCGTCTCTGTTATTTGACCCTTGCAAGGTATGACCCTTGCAACGTTCGACCCTCGCGAGGGTCAGTAGGAGAGCCTTCTCACTTTTTAATAATTTTTATAACGTTGACAAAACCTCAACCCTAGGGAATTTCATGTATTGAAATTTTCCAGTCCAAAAGATCTGTCTATAATTTCTTGAAAAAAAAAAAATTACGAAATATTCGGATAAATCAACTCAATCACCAATTGTCCCTTCATTTTTCGACACTAAAACCTCCAGATTCCGGCAAAAACCCGGTGTTTATCTCAAACGAAAACCACAAATGATCTTCACAACTCTCATTTCTCCCCAGTCACTCAGACAAAATCATAAACTTTCAGCAAATGAAAAAACTTAGTTCTTGTTCACTCACCCTTTGTTGGAGCTCAGTGCAACAATCCGACTGTTGAAAATGTTGTTTATCACTACTTGAACCTCTGGAAATGACCTGAGAGGCGCCACCAGTCCCGTATGAGTTGCCAAACGCCCCATTTAACCCCCGAGGACAAGTCAAACGCCGGAGCGAGTAAAACGGTCGAGTCATTTTCCACACTTACCCCAATTTTCCATTAATTCTCGATAATGTCTGCGAGGTACGACCGTGCTATCACTGTTTTCTCGCCCGATGGCCATCTCCTGCAGGTGGAGTACGCCCAGGAGGCCGTCAGGAAGGGATCCACTGCGGTGAGTTGAGTTATTTGGAGAACATAACCTGTTGTTTACTCTGGAAATACTCTTTTGTCAGTATTTTTCGTCGATCTATTGCTCTCTAAAATCAATCAAAACGCTTTTTCATTGATTTCTGGGGGCGAGAGGGTGGGGAGGGGTTGGGAATGTCTTCATCATGTGGCTCGGGAAATTTCCGATCCAAAACTCTGGTCTTGAACCCCTTTATCTCATCGAGTTCCTGGGATAAATGGGAAAATCTGTTTCGTGGGGGAAAATAACTTTTGGGCTGGTGTAGTATTAATTGCGGGGCAAAATGGGTTAAATACCAGGGTTTGGAATCGGAATTTTTCCCGGCGATCTAATGAGATCATTTTCATTGGTCTATCTCATCAGGTTATCGAGATATACCCCTGGAAGTGAAATTCTACATCATTTGCTTCAAATTTTTCGAACGAAAAATTGATGAATTACTGCAATTCCAGGATTAATTAATGTTGTTGGATGATTTATGAATTTCTTTGGGGCTTCGGTAGGTCGGGGTGAGGGGTCAGGATGTCGTGGTGCTGGGGGTGGAGAAGAAATCGGTGGCTAAACTCCAGGAGGAGAGGACTGTCAGGAAAATCTGCCTTCTTGATGATCATGTTGTCATGGCGTTTGCCGGTATGTTTTGACAATATGGGAGTTTAAAACAAGTGGACAATTGAATTTTTTAATAAATGAGTGTAGTTTTCGCTGCTAATACATTAGCAATTTGCTTCCGAGTGGGTTCTCTTTTTTTAATTCTTATTTCACTATTCTCTTCTTTGATTTTTTCATGTCATAGTACTATCATCAATTGAAATGTCGTCAAAATTTTGCGGATTATTTCGTTCTGTTAAATAATTCTACATTCAGACCCTCTTAAGACTCGAATTCGTTTTCAGTCCGGGTTTAATCAAGGTTCAATCAAGGTTTAATCAGTGGGTAGCCTGGATTTAATCAGGGTTTATTCAGGATTTAGCCAGAGTTAACCCAGGTTCTGTCAGAAGTTAGTCGGGAGCATGAGTCAATATGAATAAGTATTCAACATAATAGACTGCTACCTGAGTTTAATAGAGATAGAGATTTTTATATAAAAAGCTCATGACGGTATTGTGTAACTTGATAAGCAATGATGCTGTTCTCACCATTTTTCAACTTGATTAAGAAGCCATTGAAATATACTTTTCAAGCCCTGATTTAATTGCTATTACTGATGATTCTTTCAGTAATCATGAAAAACCCATTTTCTCTTTCAAATCGCATAAACAATGTGCTGTAACTCAACAACCAATTGTGCCACCCCCATCATATTCTGGTAGAATCAAGAGGGTATTGTTATGAATTTTTTGAGGCATGACTAATTCCATTTTGATGACAAATTTTTGAGTGATCATTGAGAAATCATTTTTTGAAAAAATATCAATTTTTTCAAATCTGTATGAAAAATTGAATTTTAATTGGTGTCAATGAACAGAGGTTATTAAAGTCTGCATTCATGAGAAAATTCATGAAATTCGATTGATCTTTTATAAGAAAATTTCTAACACAAAAAATTGGCTTTCATTCGGAAGCAATAACTGAGGAAAATTTATCATCATTAATTCTTTAAACTAACTAGTCTAATTAAGTGTTCGATTGTTTATTCTGATGATTAGGTCTCACTGCCGATGCCAGAGTGCTGATAAATCGCGCACAGATCGAGTGCCAGAGCCACAAACTCACTGTTGAGGATCCTGTTACGTTGGAGTACATAACTCGTTACATTGCTGGTGAGATTTTCAATATTTTGTGATATAAGCATAATCCATGGAATTTTTGTCATCCTTCTGTTCGATCATTTCTGTCAAATTTTCTCTAAATTCAAACTCAAACTTCACAAGTTGAAAAAAAAATTTTTTTTAATATTCTACTCTATTTTATTTCAGTATTCTATATAAATTTTTTAATTGTAAATGATGGAAAGAACTTTATGCATTATGACTTTGAATGAAATCCCATTTTTTAGAATAAACGAAGAAATAAATAAAAGATGAATAATTATTTCACTAATTTCTTCATTGAATAAAATTTATGAAAAACGTAAATTGAATGAAAAATTTTTTCTATGGATTTTATTATCTTGAATGAAGTTTTCGCATTATTATGACATAAAAAACTCCATGTCCAACATTTTCAATTCAATCTTCAGCCGGTAAGAGTGATAACAAACGAACATTTCATTTTTTAAAATATTAACCAACTGAATTCAAGCTTTAAAAACATTGAAAGTAATTTTTGCTCTCTTCTCCTTAGGTTTGAAGCAAAAATACACTCAGAGCAATGGTAGGCGTCCATTCGGTATTTCCTGTTTGTTAGCTGGTTTTGACTACGATGGAAGCCCACATTTATACCAGACTGAACCCTCAGGCATTTATCATGAATGGAAGGTGAGTGAACCACAATTTGTCCCCTTCATTTCCATTTTTCACTGTTTACCTTCAATTCGTTTGATTTTTCCAGAGATTAATCAATGAATTTACCACAAAATTTTAAAAATAAATAATTTATTACAGACTTCAGGTGGCCATCGAAGCCTACTAAAAGAAAGAATCCATAGAAATCTAACAAAACTATAAATATATCAACCATTCCTAATGTCACAGTAAACAACAACTTTGACTAAACTATTTGGCTAACTATTTAAGGCCCGGGTGTACTATCTTTCGAATGTTATCTGGATTTTTCAATCTTTCGTAATCCAAAATTGTCAATTGAGGGCTACAGCATGCAGAAATTCCCAAAAATTATGATAGAATGATGAAAAAAAAATAGAAAAAATTCTGAAATTTTTCAAAGAGCGTTTTCAATTGGGATTCAGAATGAGTTGAAAAAAGTGAAAATTACAAATATCTGATTCGCTGTGGAAAATTATCTATTAGCTGTTATTTTCCATGGTGGGTAACAAAACACCAACTCCTCATGGGAAGTGACAGAAAAATTCAACTCCTAAATCTATTTTTCCGACAAAAATTTTTCATTCCGGCGCACTCTGCATGTTTGGCACAAAAAAAATTATTTTTTGATCATTTTCAAAAAACCGTTTTCTTGGCACAAGTAAGACTTGTTTGAGAACTTTGTCGTTTTTCTCTCAGTGTACTATTGACAGGCTCTGATGGGTCTTCGCCTGAAGTCTTAATAAATAAGTTTGTAATTAGCAAAAAATAATTCTCTATAAAGTTGATAAGAAAAATGTTTAGAGTTCATTGTTTTTGGTTTTATCAGGCGAATGCCACTGGACGTGCAGCGAAAACTGTCAAAGAATTTCTGGAGAAGTACTACACTCCAGAGGAGGTGTCCACCGAGAGGGGCTCGATAAAACTGGCCATCAGAGCACTCCTGGAGGTGGTGACCTCTGGACAGAAAAATTTAGAGATCGCAATAATGCGCAGGGGGCAGCCTGTCCAGATGCTGGACAGTGACACGATAGGTGAATACGTTGTGGAAATTGAGAAGGAGAAGGAGGCAGAGGCCGAGAAGAAGAAGCAGAAGAAGTGATTGGAGTGATATCTTAATGTTTATTTTATATCTTCATGAATAATTATTGTAACGGAAATTGGCAGATTTTTTTTTTCATTAAAATGTCTTACGATTACTTGACTGCAGTTGGTTCTTTTTTTGGGGATCTGTGACTGGGAGGAGTTTAAATTGCAATTGTAAATGCTATTGATTTCATTGTGCAGTAAATAATTTGGAATTATTTACAGTTCTGGTGATGAGTGAATTTGATGGCTTTTTTGATTAATTAATTAAGATATTTTTTGAGGAAAATTGAATTCTTTACAAAACATTTTGTAATTGATAATTAATTGAGGATTTCGGAATCGATTGAATTATTTCTTTATGTGCTAATTGGGTAATTTATCTCGGTAATTAGTACATTTGAGGAAATGTGAAGACATTTTTTTGTGGAGAATTTAATTCTTTACAAAAAATCTCGAAGATATTTTACTCTAAAACCACTCATTACCGAAAAAATTAGACAATTAATAGTTATCTTAGGATTTTGTAAACGATTGAATTTTTTTTTCAGGTGTTAATTGGGGAATTGTCCCGATAATTAGTGCATTCATGAGGAAATGTCGACATTTTATTAAAAATTAAATTCTCTACAAAAAACACTCATTACGAAGATAATTAATGAGTCAGGAATTGATTGAAGATATCGTGTCATTTCTTAATGAATTTTTTTGGTACTTTCGAGAGGTGAACTCCTGCATTTTTTAATAATTTAAGAAAGTAGGGGTTAGTAGGGGGGCACGTAGTCTTGAGACAGACATCTTCCTCGATGATGGAATATTTGGAACGATGGGAGATTTCTGGTGCTCTCCCAGGATTTGTTCTCGAGGTCCACGACTGCCCGGATCTCCTTGAAGTCTCCGGCGATGTAGAGGACTCCGTACATCACGATGAAGAGGCTTAGAATGCCCTGGATAAGTATCTAGAAATAATAACAATGATTTTTATTTTTTTTCTGGATTTACTAAAATCCTTTGGGGAAATGAATGAAGGCAAAGAGGACGATTTCCATTGACTCTATCCCTCTTCTAATTACCTTTCAATGGATTGAAAAAAATTAAAATAATAAATTGCAATTTTTGGTTCCATGTGGGATCAATGAAGGATGAGTTTTTACGCTGAATTAAGAATATTAATTAAGGAAAATGTCCCAAGGACTTGAGGATTCCTGATTGATAATCTAGGATCTAGGAGAAAATGTCAAGAGACCTTTTTTGTGTGCCTGTGTTTTTAAAGAATAAAATGAATGAATGAAGAAATGAAAGAGAAAAGAGGGCGATACGTGAGGGACTGGATGTGTGACGCCAAAGAGGCAACGAATCAGATCAGAAAGACTGAATAGAGACGATAGGTTTGAGACTGAGTTTATGGAATTGAGGTGTGATATGAGAAGTGTTTGGAGCGAGTGACAGTTTGGAAAATAAGAATGTTTATGCTAGATGGAGGTTTTGGGGGATGCGTGTGGCCTGGGTGACGGAATTAAAGAGATCATTGTGGGTGACAAAGAGTATGGAGAATGAGTGTAGGTGCTAGTGAGAGAGTGCTAGGTAACGAAGAAAGTAATTAGAGTATGCTGAGATGAGAAAGTTTGGGAATGAGTCAGTGTTCGATGAGGAGAGCTAGAGAGAAGATCGAGAGCAATTGTGATGATTATCGATACCCAATGTCTACGTAACATCTATCCCTGTGATTTTATATTTTATTCAGTTATATTTCCAATAAAGTTGGTCCATATCTGGTATCAGGGCTGAGTCTTGACAATGATCCTCCATTAATTGCTGCAATGCTTCTTGCAAAATAATTCAATTGACAATGAATTATAATTCATGATTAACCCATGACGCAACGAACCAATCAGCTGATTAAAAAATTTCAATAATTTCCACGTGAAGTTCAGGGAGACAGGGAGAAAAACAAAAAATATTCGATAAATTCTGTTTTCCAAGTGGAATTAATTTGATCGTCCATGTGACTATATTATTTCAATAAAGTTCAACTATATTCGTTATCAATCCTGATTATTCACAGTGAATATCAGTCTTTAAACATCCAATTCAAAAATTAATCAACAAAAATTACTCACATCCACTGGTAAAGTCGTGAACTCCTGCTCAGTTATCCTCAAGTACGATCGATCTAAAGAATAAATAATCAATTCATTAAACAAATTCTCAATTAACCGAAAGAACATTCAAAAATCAAATTACGATAATCAATTAAAACACTCACGTTGAGCTGCTGAATACGCCGCGTGCAAAATCGAAATGAATCCCAGAGTTGTGATGATTTTGTGTGTTGATGTGGCTGGCATGTTTCCAATAACTGAATGAATCCCTTCAAAATCGATATACTCCTGTCTTTTCCCTCTAAAACAACTCAATAACTCAATAAATTCCCTAATTCCGGTGTTAATTCCGCCCAACAATCATCAAATCATCAATAATTAACTGAAGAATGACAGAACGATGACTTCACAATAACTTAATACTTCAGGTTAGAATGTTTTCGACAACAAATTTCCATGAAACGACAGAATGATTTTAGTCGTTTTCAACGCAGGATTTAGTTGAGTTTTGTTTATGTCGGGCGTTCTAACCTCGAAAAATGAAGACGATTCTGTTGACGTTTCTGGGCAAACATCCAAGAGGATTCAGTGCCCATTGATGATCGCATAATTTATTGGCAATTGCTTTCAGTGAGAGTTAAAGACTGTTTATGTTGAAGTTAGGTTTAATAATTATTGAAAATGGTGAGGAAATGCTGCATCAGGGACTGCAAGAGCGAGTGGTGGCCTGGAACTGACCTCAGTTTCCATAGGTATTGAAGATTATCTCGAATAAATAAATGAACGAGTGGATAATTAAGACGTATCAGTGAAATACTGATGAATTTCATCGTCGAATGGATGCGGAACCAAATGCTTTGATATCTAAATAATTTTTCAGTCATCAGAAATTTTTTGTGGGGAAATCAATTTTCTAGAAAAAATTTCCATTGGAATTTTCTTCTAATTAAGATAATTAGCAATCAACTGGATATTTTGCTCTCCCTGAATTTCATGTGACAATTATTGGAATTTTTTAATCAATTGATTGGTTCGTTGCGTCATGAGTTAATCATGAATTATAATTTATTGTCAATTGAATTATTTTGCAAGAAGCATTGCGCAATTAATGGAGGATCATTGTCAAGACTCAGTCCTCATACCAGATATGGACAAACTTTATTGGAAATATAACTGAATAAAATATAAAACCACAGGGATAGATGTTACGTAGACATTGGGTATCGATAATCATCACAATTGCTCTCGATCTTCTCTCTAGCTCTCCTCATCGAACACTGACTCATTCCCAAACTCTCTGATCTCAGCATACTCTAATTACTTTCTTCGTTACCTAGCACTCTCTCACTAGCACCTACACTCATTCTCCATACTCTTTGTCACCCACAATGATCTCTTTAATTCCGTCACCCAGGCCACACGCATCCCCCAAAACCTCCATCTAGCATAAACATTCTTATTTTCCAAACTGTCACTCGCTCCAAACACTTCTCATATCACACCTCAATTCCATAAACTCAGTCTCAAACCTATCGTCTCTATTCAGTCTTTCTGATCTGATTCGTTGCCTCTTTGGCGTCACACATCCAGTCCCTCACGTATCGCCCTCTTTTCTCTTTCATTTCTTCATTCATTCATTTTATTCTTTAAAAACACAGGCACACAAAAAAGGTCTCTTGACATTTTCTCCTAGTGCCCCTCATCACCAAGATAATTACGAAGTTATCATTTTCCTCACTCAATATTCCTAATTCAACGTCCACAATTATGTTCATTTCTCTTATTTGTTTCAATGCCTTGACAATGATGACTTCATTTTACGGCATGAAATCTTATTTCCAGCTTTCCAAAGAAGGAAGAGGCCCGGAAGAAATGGCTGGATGCAATTCCCCCCGAGAAACTGAGAAACACTAATCTGAATTACTCGTCTGTCTGCAGTAAACATTTCGACGAGAGCAGTTTCACAGATTGCTTCAACACCAATACTTTAAGAAATTCCCTCAAGAAGGATGCGGTTCCAACGTTATTTGGAGAAGCTACAGTAATTTTTCAATTTTAACAACAGTTCAATTTGTCTACAATTAAAAAAACTGGAGAATTTGTGTTAAAAATCAGTGATACTTTTTATTTGATCGCAGGAACCAGAGTTTGTTGACTTGGAAATGCTGTCGGAGCCATCAGACGACGAGCATGAAGTAAGAAAAATTATCTAAAAGTTGAGCATTATCTCGAAATGCAAAAAAAATTCTCGAAAGGCATTTCTTCACAAAAATGTTTATTGAAATTTTCCCCTAAACCCCTTTCATTCCTAACAAAATAAGATTTTCGACAGTTTAAACAATTTCAATTATTTATTTATTAACAATGGATATTTAAACAAGTGGCCCATTGCACAGGTCTAAATCAAGTATAGTTTTTTTGCTAAAAATTAGCAATTTGCTTCCGAATGGATTAATAGAATCAAAACAAAAAAGTGCACATTCGGTTTTTTGTCCTTAATTTCAGATTAGTAGGGATCCTTCCTGAAGTTTAACCTCAGGAAAATTCAATAGTTTTTTTTAAAGACCATTTGAGATAAAATTGTTTAGTGAACTGAATTTATTTTAGATTAGACAGATTGAGTGAAAACAAAATGAATGTAAAATTTGATATCACAAGAGTGATATGTTGAAATGTAATTTTTTTGTTAACAAGCTAATTCTAAATTTAGGTACTTGATTTTCGATCATCCAAATAATCGTCAATCTTCCTACCTAAATTATTGATTATAGAATATTTCAACATTTAAATATACAAGTTGGATAATTTAATATTTACAATTTTTAAGATTTATGTTAATAATTGACAACTTCACAATTTAACGGTAATTATCATTGATGAATATGCCTATCCCTGGTCTCAAATTAAATTTTACTTCTATTCCAGATATTTTATCCCTAAGTTACAAGATTGCTATCATATCATTATTATTGTTTCATTTAAGGGTATTATAACAAAGTTATAATTTTTTTAATTAATAGTATTAGACAGATGGTGAACATCGGTGACAATTTTAAAATGTTTGGCACACAAAAATCCTTTTTTGATAATTTTCAAAAAACTATTTTCTCGACACAAGTCAGACTTGTTTGAGAACTTTGTCGTTTTTCTCTCAGTGTATACTGTAGCCTGTACCAAACTGTAAAAGATGATTTTTCAATCTTCCCAGGCTCCAGAGGAAAATCTTTTCCCTGCGAGCATGGACGTGGGTGTCCAAACGATGATGAACAAGCGCACCCTCGAGGACATCGACGAGCTCAGGCGTCGGGAAAAAAACCTTCATCAGCGTCTCAGGAGGGCAGAGCAGAGGATCAACGAGTTGAAAATAATAGTCAAGTCGCACGTTGAGAGGACAGATATGGACGTGATTGCAGATGCCATCCACAAGTACATACCCGAGGAGAGGAGGGACCTCTTCCTCAACGAACTCGCTCACCACGTCTCTCCCTCCCTGAAGAAGAAGCACGAGTACTTCATGAAGGACTTTGCCATGACGATGTACCTCTGCAGCAGAGAGGCTTATGAATGCTTGAGGGAGAAGATCACACTTCCCCACCCATCGACTATCAGAAAATGGGTGCACAAAAAGAATAAGGAGGAGGATTAGGAAGTAAGATGGATGAAATGTGTAAGGTTCTCGCACAAAATTCTTTGGGAAAAAATTCTTTGGAAAAAATTCCTTTAAAAAATTCCTTTGGAAAGGTTTCCGCACAAACTTCTTTGGGAAAAAATTCCTTCAAAAAAATTTCTCCTTAAAGGTTCCCGCACAAAATTCTTTTTGGGAAAAAATTCTTTGGAAAAGATTCCTTCAAAAAAAATTCCTTCGGAAAGGTTCCAGCACATAATTCTCTGGGAAAAAATATTTCGGAAAAAATTCTTTGGAAAAAATTCCTTCAAAAAAATTTCTCCTTAAAGGTTCCCGCACAAAATTCTTTTTGGGAAAAAATTCTTTGGAAAAGATTCCTTCAAAAAAAATTCCTTCGGAAAGGTTCCAGCACATAATTCTCTGGGAAAAAATATTTCGGAAAAAATTCTTTGGAAAAAATTCCTTCAAAAAAATTTCTCCTTAAAGGTTCCCGCACAAAATTCTTTTTGGGAAAAAATTCTTTGGAAAAGATTCCTTCAAAAAAAATTCCTTCGGAAAGGTTCCAGCACATAATTCTCTGGGAAAAAATATTTCGGAAAAAATTCTTTGGAAAAAATTCCTTCAAAAAAATTTCTCCTTAAAGGTTCCCGCACAAAATTCTTTTTGGGAAAAAATTCTTTGGAAAAGATTCCTTCAAAAAAAATTCCTTCGGAAAGGTTCCAGCACATAATTCTCTGGGAAAAAATATTTCGGAAAAAATTCTTTGGAAAAAATTCCTTCAAAAAAAATTCCTTCGGAAAAGTTCCAGTACATAATTCTCTGGGAAAAAATATTTGGGAAAAAATTCTTTGGAAAAAATTCCTTAAAAAAAAATTCCTCCGGAAAAGATTCCTTCGGAAATAATTTTTTCATGCAATATTTCCTCCTGTAAAAATGCCTCATGCAATAATTCTTTCCCAGAACCATGGGTAAACTTGTTGTGGACAGCATAATCTCTCCGGAAATTCCATAGTTAACTAAAAAAATATTCAACCAATATAAAAAAAAATATTTCCAGTTTTTTTTTCTCAAATTTTTTTTCCACAGTAATTATTTGCCAAGTAATTTTTTCCAAAATAATTAGTTCTGAAGGAATTTTTTCCAAGGAATTTTCTCCAAAATATTTTTTCCAAAGGAATTTTAGGCGGACACCGATGTGTAAGATATTGTGATGGTCTTTGTTGTGGTGACAAGTGAGGATAAATATTTTTACTATTTATAACGGTTTTCCATTATTTCCAGTCTTATTTTAAGGGGGAGCGCCGCTTTTTTCGAGTACCACAAGTACTTGATGGGAAATTTTGGTATATTTTTGGTAATTTTTTCTTTGTGGAGAGAAATGTTAGTTTTTCAATAACACTGGTTTTTTATTCAACAGAAGGAATTGAGTAATTTCGAATACATACAAAACATTTCGTTGAAAAATGCTGAAAATTGTGGGACTAGTAGGATTTTTACGAGTCGAGAAAATCCAAAACGGCCAATTTTTAAAATAAATAGTTATAGAAAATGTTGCTAATAAATTAGCAATTTGCTTCCGAATGGATTTTCTTTTTCTAAATTCTCATTTCACTGTTCTATCTTCTATTTTTTCATGTTATAGTGCTATCATCAATTGAAATGTCATCAAAATTTTGCGGATTATTTCGTTCTGTCAAATAATTCTACATTCAGACCCTCTCAAGACTCGAATTCGTTTTCAGTCCGGGTTTAATCAAGGTTCAATCAAGGTTTAATCAGTGGATAGCCGGGATTTAATCAGGGTTTATTCAGGATTTAGCCAGAGTTTAACCCAGCTTCTGTCATTAGTTACTCGGGACCATGAATCAATATGAATAAGTATTCAACATAATAGACTGCTACCTGAGTTTAATAGAGATAGAGATTTTTATATAAAAAGCTCATGACGGTATTGTGTAACTTGATAAGCAATGATGCTGTTCTCACCATTTTTCAACTTGATTAAGAAGCCATTGAAATATACTTTTCAAGCCCTGATTTAATTGCTATTACTGATGATTCTTTCAGTAATCATGAAAAAACCCATTTTCTCTTTCAAATGGCATAAACAATGTGCTGTAATTCAACAACCAATTGTGCCACCCCCATCATAGTCTGATAGGATCAAGAGGGTATTGTTATCAATTTTTTGAGCCATCACTAATTCCATTTTGATGACAATTTTTTGAGTGATCGTTGAAAAATTGATTTTTGAAAAAATATCAATTTTTTCGAATCTCTTTGAAAAATTGAATTTTAATTGGTGTCAATGAATAGAGCTTATTAAATAAAGCCTATATTCATAAATTCGATCGATCCCCATTAAGAAAATTCCTTTAAATTTTTTTTTAAAAAACACTGCATACATACATACAGACACTACCTAAAAATCGCCTACTCCGATTTTTCAATCCATATTTAGTTAACCTGACACAAAAAATTGTAAACTTAAATTTGATCAATTACAAAGCTTCCATTCGGAAGCAAAACAAGAAAAAAACCGTTTTCTCCAAGAAAAAACCCCCTGAATCTTAATTTTCCCCTTAAGGCCCGGGTGTACTATTTTTCGAATGTTATCTGGATTTTTTTATCTTTCGTAATCCAAAATTGTCAATTGAGTGGTGCATTATGAGTAGAAATTCCCAAAAATTATGATAGAATGATTTAAAAAAATGGAAAAAATTCTGAACTTTTTCAAAGAGCGTTTTTAATTGAGATTCAGAATGAGTTGAAAAAAGTGGAAATTACAAATATCTGATTCGCTGTGGCAAATTATCTATTAGCTGTCATTTTCCATGGTGGATAACAAAACACTAACTCCTCATGGGAAGTGACAGCTAGGTATCTCAATTTTTAAAACAGTGGTATGTAGTCATCTGCCATTTTTATGTGATAAAAGTGTGATTAAAAAATTCTCCAAAATATTACAACTTTTTTCAAAGAGCCTTTTCCGTAATAAATGTCTCTGTGCAGTGTGGGAAAAGATTTACGAAATCAGTCTTCCCCCTGCATGATATTTGGGTGACAGGCCGCCATTTATCACCGTAAATCAGATACATTTTTCAATTTCTTGTTATTCAACTTATTCTGAATATAAATTAAAAATGCTCTTTGAAAAAATTGAGAATTTCTTCTACTTTTTTTGATTATTCATTCATAATTTTTCAAAACTTCTGCATGATGCAGGACTTAATTGACAATTTCAGATGACGAAAGATGAAAAAAAAACATCGAGATAACGTTCGAAAGATAGTACACCCGGGCCTTAATTCCCAAAAACTCCCCCTCCAAAAATTCTCCCCTAAAAACCCCTAATCACCGATTCACGAGAAGAAGTGGCATTGTCCCATGACCAGGAGCACAATACTGGAAACAGTGAGCAGTAAACAGAGATAACGTCCAGTGATGGGCACCCTGAAGAGTCTCGCGCACATTTTCAACGAAGAGGTGTAAAGGAGAATGGTGTTGAGGTCTTCCCCAGGTGTCGACTGGTAGACGAAGGGTCTCACCCTGACCTCGTGCCCCAGATTCTGGATCATGGAGCAGGCGGTGGTGAGTCTGGCCGCTTGCACGAAGGGAGCCATTGCTATCAGCACCCAGAGGATTACGTTGACAATGCTGAAGTAGGGAACTGGACTGGCTGTCGAGTCTATCGTGTCGTACTCGAGGAGCCAGGCTGTGCCTGCTGCTGCCCAGGAGAGGTTCACCACTGTGTAAATGCAGACAGCCGGGGCGAGGTCGTTGTTCAAGTACTTCAGGAGCTTTTTAAACTCGAGGATTTCCTGAATGATTGCAAACACCAAGGAAAAGTCAAAACAAGTGAGAAATTGCACATTGGGGAGTTATTTTTCATAATAAATTAGCAATATGCGTCCGAATGGTTGTTTTGCACATCATTTCCTTCTATCGTGGATAATTCATTGTTTAATTCATTTTATTGAATTGAATAAGATTTCTTTTCAACTGATTTTGTCAGATTTTCAACTCTGTTGAATGTTATTATCACGATTATTCTGATTATCCCTCTCTTCTGTACAACCGATTGTCTTTTTTACGGTTCTCTCCCCTCAGCCCTTCGATAAAATGTTAATAGAAAAATTTTATTTATACATACTTGAATGAATTTGAAACATCACATTTGAAGAAACCATCGGAAACCTCACTTTCAGGGAAAGTAAAGAAAAATTCGAAATTTTCAACAATTATCATAAAAATCAAATCAACCAATATAGCTATCGTAATCATCTTTCAACTTGGACTTAATGGCATTGAAACAAACATTTCAAGCTATAATTGAATTCATTTGAAGCATGAGATTCAAAGATATCCCCGGAATTCTGATTTTCAAAAAATACAAAATTTTTGCAAATTTTCAAATAAATCAAAATAACGATTATTGCTAGCGCCTTCATCTTCGAATTCGGTCAAAAGGACATCCAAACAAATTTTTTAAGCCATCATTCAATCCATTCAGAGCATTTTTTTTAGTTATCGTGAGACAACTGATTTTCGAAAAAAAACGAAAATTAAAAATTAATCGATGAATTTAAATTTCATTAATGGCGATCGATAGGGCTCAACAATACCCACATTTGAAAAAAAAGTTTCAATTTCATTCATTAGTGAACAATTGAAGAAAAACTTTTTTACATACGTACACATATACTCATTACACACACACGTACAGTCCAGGCCTAAAAATTGCATTTTCGGACTTTTTAGATCATATTTGGTCTATATAACACAAAAAATCCAAAACTCAAATTTGAACGGTTACAAAGCTTCCATTCGGAAGCAAAACAAACTAAAATAAAATTCTCATTTTTAACTTTTCTTCAATATCTTTTCAATATCTTGAGAGTTTCATCTGAAAGCGGGGAAATTTCCGATTCCATCCCCTGGTCATGAACCCATTTTGCCCCGCAACTTCTTTGAATATCCTCAAAAGCCGTTCCTGAGGGGTGAAAAGGCTCCTCAGCGATATTTCCCATAATTATGGGGCAAAATGGGTTCATGACAAGAGGATGGAAAGGGAAATTTTCCGAGCTTCTTGACGAGATGAAATTGACTTTGATATCTTGAAAAGTTTCCGAGATATCGAAGAAAATGTTCTTACTTTCATCCAGTCTAGTGCAGGGAGAGTGTTCTGCAGCAGTTTAGCCTTGAGAAAATTCAGATGAGCTACTAGTAATTGTCCTTGGAGGCAGTAGCTCGTGATGATGGTCCCCTGTACCATATCGTGCCACAGGGTGCAGATGATCAGCAGAACTTTCGATAGTTTCTTGAATTGTTCAGGACTGCAGGAGACGAAGAATAATAATTCAGTTACGGCCCGGGTGTACTATCTTTCGAGTGTTATCCGGACTTTTTTAATCTTTCGTAATCCAAAATTGTCAATTGAGCGGTACATCATGTAGAAATTCCCAAAAATTATGATAGAATGATTAAAAAAATAGAAAAAATTCTGAACTTTTTCGAAGAGCGTTTTTAATTGAGATTCAGAATGAGTTGAAAAAAGTGGAAATTACAAATATCTGATTGGCTGTGGCAAATTATCTATTAGCTGTCATTTTCCGTGGTGGATAACTAAACACTAACTCCTCATGGGAAGTGACAGCTAGGTATCTCAATTTTCAAAACAGTTGTATGTAGTCATCTGCCATTTTTATGTGATAAAAGTGTGATTAAAAAATTCTCAAAAATATTACAACTTTTTTCAAAGAGCCTTTTCCGTAATAAATGTCTCTATGCAGTGTGGGAAAATATTTACGAAATCAGTCTTCCCCCTGCATGATATTGGGTGACAGGCCACCACTTGTCAACGTAAATCAGATACATTTTTCAATTTCTTGTTATTCAACTTATTCTGAATATAAATTAAAAATGCTCTTTGAAAAAATTAAGGATTTTTTCTACTTTTTTTTTATTATTCATTCATAATTTTTCAAAACTTCTGCATGATGCAGGACTTAATTGACAATTTCAGATGACGAAGGATGAAAAAAAACATCAAGATAACGTTCGAAAGATAGTACACCCGGGCCTTAAATGTTTTCCTCTTCATCTGTAATTCGGCGATTGTGAGGGGGATTATCACCTGTGATCCAACCATTGAAAGAGGATGGTGCCCCTGGCCATGAGGACGTTGACAGTGACAAGTGCCATCGTCATCCAGACAACGGACAGGCCGATGAACAGCCAGAGGATCTTGACCAGTTTCTTCTGGTTTCCCCGGTTCACTGGGTTCGACGAGAGGAGAAATGCCCTCTCCATCAGGTTCTGAAGCTGCTCATTCTCCTTTATCCTGAACAGGTAGACTGTGTAGAGATAGGCGACCAGGTGGAGAACACTGGGGATGAGATAGCTGAAGACAGCATTCCCGTAGCAGATCTGCTCGTAGGCTCGAGTTCTCGTGATATTTTCTACTTCTTCATATTGAACGGGAAGGAGTTTGTAGCAGAATCCTCTGTCTCTCCTGGGGGGCGAGGAGAATATTTACTCTGGGAGAAAATGCCAAGAGACCGTTTTTGTGCGCATGTGTTTTTAAAGAATAAAATTAATGAATGAAGAAGCGAAAGGGAAAAGAGGGCGATACGTGAGGGACCGGATGTGTGACGCCAAAGAGGCAACGAATCAGATCAGAAAGACTGAATAGAGACGATAGGTTTGAGACTGAGTTTATGGAATTGAGGTGTGATATGAGAAGTGTTTGGAGCGAGTGACAGTTTGGAAAATAAGAATGTTTATGCTAGATGGAGGTTTTGGGGGATGCGTGTGGCCTGGGTGACGGAATTAAAGAGATCATTGTGGGTGACAAAGAGTATGGAGAATGAGTGTAGGTGCTAGTGAGAGAGTGCTAGATAACGAAGAAAGTAATTAGAGTATGCTGAAATGAAAGAGTTTGGGAATGAGTCAGTGTTCGATGAGGAGAGCTAGAGAGAAGATCGAGAGCAATTGTGATGATTATCGATACCCAATGTCTACGTAACATCTATCCCTGTGATTTTATATTTTATTCAGTTATATTTCCAATAAAGTTGGTCCATATCTGGTATCAGGGCTGAGTCTTGACAATGATCCTCCATTAATTGCTGCAATGCTTCTTGCAAAATAATTCAATTGACAATAAATTCAGGAGCGAAGCGGTAAACCGGGTTAAGTCGATTTTAACTGTTGGCCAGTTTTTGACGAATATCTCGGAATCTAAAAGAGATACAAAAATTTTCGTCATGACCTTTTTTGTAGAGCAAACTGAGGGTTATAAAAAAGGTCATGAGCAAAATTTTGATATCTCTCTTAGATTCCGAGATATTCATCAAAAAATGGCCAAAAGTAAAAATTGACTTAACCCGGTTTACCGCTTCGCTACTGAATTATAATTCATGATTAACTCATGACGCAACGAACCAATCAACTGATTAAAAAATGCCAATAATTGTCACGTGAAATTCAGGGAGACAGGGAGAAAAAAAAATTCGATAAATTCTGTTTTTCGAGAGAGAAATTGATTTGTTAATCAGTTAATCGGAGGATTATGCGGCATTTTGTTGTTCATTACCTGAAACAAGCCATGTATTGCAGAACGTATCCAATGCACATGAAGATGGTCACCTGGACCGTGTGAATATTCGCTAGAACCGAGTAGCAGGAATAACGCTCTGAATCTGTGCTCGTTGGTCTCAGTCCCATCACCCACAGTAATCTCAGATACGGCATGAGTATCTTACATTTGCAGTAATGAAGCACAGCTGATGTACTCAGATTCTCGTAATCAGGTACTTCGGTGATGAATCCTATCTAGAACGAAAAATGAAATCAGCCCCAAACTTTTGGGCACCTTTCAGGAAATATTTTTTTGTTTTAGTTGAGGGTCAATTGGTCCTGAGGGTGAAATGAGGGTTAATGGCGCTCGGAGCCAAGGATGAAATGGTCGTAAGGGTCAAACGATCCTTAAGAACGTTTGGCGTCGAGGGTCAAATTGTCTTAAGGGCCCACGATCCTTGAAGAGGTGTAGGATTGAGGGTCAACTTACCCTTTCCGATCACTCTCTTCTGATCTATTCGAATTTTCAGACCTTTGGCCCTTAATCCCAAGGCTCTTAAGGTTTGTTTGATCCTCAACTCGAAACATCCTCAAGGGTCGTTTGACCCTTAAAACCATTTGATGCTAAAGCAGTGGGAAAATATGAAACAACAGGAAAAGCGTCTGGTTAGAACCTTTCAGGATTTTTTTAAAATGTTAGTTGAGGGTCAAACAACTCTTAAATCCGTTTGAAGTCAAGAGTCAAATTGTCTTAAGGGGCCACGACCCTTGGAGAGGTATGGGATTGAGGGTCAAATGACCCTTTCCGATCACTCTCTTCTAGTCTGTTTGAATTTTCAGACCTTTGACCCTTAATCCCAAGGTTCTTAAGGTTTGTTTGACCTTCAAAAACCATTTGACCTTCCACTCAAAACGTCCTTAAGGGTCGTTTGACCCTCAAACAACACTTAAGGGCATTCAATAGTGCAGGATCGTAAAGGTCCATCTGACCTTCAACTCCCAACGTCATTTGACCCTCAACTGAAAAAAGTAATTCCTTTAGAAAAATCATTAATCCACTCACTTCTGTACTTCTCATCTGCAACTCCGATAAAACGGAAGTTCTAGGGTCTCCAGGGCCCTCCGATCGTCCCGACAGCTCCTTTTCATTCGCCGGACCACTCCCCTCGAAATTTGTCTGAAAAAGATTTTCAAAAATTGAAAAAACCTCCGAAAATTAAAAAATTAATCCATCAACAAAGCTGATAAATTACAGTTCTTCTCAAATATTTCAACAAAATTCCTGTCAACGATGACTTCAATTTCCCTCCCATCATCACGACCAAGTGAGGGACATTTGTTTACTGTTGACAGTTGATTCTCCCTCTCACGTGTGTTTCTAAACCCCAATTAATCTTCCCCCCCCCTCCCCCATCACCTTAATCCACAGGTATGAATGATAAACGTAAATAAAGAGTTCAGAGTCCCTGAATTCAAGTCTAGGATAGAGAAATTTATGGTCTGAAGGGACTCACCATTTTTATTTGCTGTGTAAATTACCTTTGACACGAGAGAACACTAAATTATTGTTAATTTCTCCCCAGGAAGAAACACTATCTCTCGGGGCGATGACATTTTGACCTTTCGAATGAGATATTGATTCCTCTTTATGAGAATGTTGGTAATTAATGATTATTGCGATAGAGTGAAATCGATTTTTAGTGGGAAATATTCGAAATTTCTTTCATATTTCTCGTTTCTTTTCATTTACAGTTCTGTTTTTGCATATTTTTAAAACAATTTTCTTGAGGAACAATTAAAATTGATGAATTTTTAATGATTCATATTTTTTTACAGAATTATAATTGAATTTTAGAGGAAATTTCAGGGGAACATGGGATAAAATTATGAATTTGATTGAATTCAAATCAATTATTATCTTTTTATATCTCCTAAAAATTTTGAATTTACTTGCACTAATTAATTATTGAAAGTCACTATTTTGAATTTTTTGTTGATTAAATGATTTCTTCCATATTTCTCTTTTCTTTTAATTTAAAATTGTTTTTCAATATTTTCAAAACATTTTTTATTAAGACTTAATTAAATTTAATTAATTCAATGATGATTTATATTTTTTACATAATGAGAATTGAATTTCAATCAATCATTATTTTTCAGTATCACCGAAAAATGAAAAAAATTGGCCTTTATCGAGTTACTTGCACTAATTCATTACTAATAATTATAATTTCGATTTTTGTTACAATAAAAATATAATTTCAATGATGATTTCAACGACTAATTAAACAAAATACAGATTACAGATTACATTAAATTTTTTACATTTTATTTATGAAAAAATATACAATTAATAACGTTAATTAGATTAATTACTAATCTATTCACATTTTATATTTTTTCTTTCCAATATTGCCAGCAGGTCTTAACAGCCCCTTCTGGTCAGCCCTCCTGTGCTTGAAAGAATCCCTCGATTTTCCGAATTTCTTTTTCCCAGTGGAGAAAGTCATTTCCCTATTTCCTCTCGATCCGGTGACTCTCACATTAGATTTCTCGCTGTTTAATCTGTCCCCCAAACTTGTCCTAAAAATGAGAAATTAATTAATTTATTAATTCTCTTGTTTATTCAAGTGAAGACAACCGAAACCAATTACAAGACCTACTAATACTGTGAGAATAATGAACGCATATGATACAAAAGCGGCTGACATAAATGTCTAGCAGCAAAAAGAAGAGGTCAAGATAGTAAACATGAAAAGTGAATGACATGAATCATTTACAGAAAATAGTTTAGAATGACTAATAATTTAGAAAATTAAAAAATAAAAACAAAAGTGGAATAAATCACATGAATCATCCACAGAAAATAATTGAGATTTAAGGCTCGGGTGAACTATCTTTCGAATGTTATCTGGATTTTTTTTATCTTTCGTAATCCAAAATTGTCAATTGAGTGGTACATCATGTAGAAAATCCCAAAAATTATGATAGAATGATAAAAAAAAATATAAAAAATTCTGAACTTTTTCAAAGAGCGTTTTTAATTGAGATTCAGAATGAGTTGAAAAAAGTGGAAATTACAAATATCTGATTCGCTGTGGCAAATTATCTATTAGCTGTCATTTTCCATGGTGGATAACAAAACACTAACTCCTCGTGGGAAGTGACAGCTAGGTATCTCAATTTTCAAAATAGTGGTATGTAGTCATCTGCCATTTTTATGTGATAAAAGTGTGATTAAAAAATTCTCCAAAATATTACAACTTTTTTCAAAGAGCCTTTTCCGTAATAAATGTCTCTGTGCAGTGTGGGAAAAGATTTACGAAATCAGTCTTCCCCCTGCATGATATTGGGTGACAGGCCGCCATTTGTCACCGTAAATCAGATACATTTTTCAAATTCTTGTTATTCAACTTATTCTGAATATAAATTAAAAATGCTCTTTGAAAAAATTAAGAATTTCTTCTACTTTTTTTTGATTATTCATTCATAATTTTTCAAAACTTCTGCATGATGTAGGACTTACTTGACAATTTCAGACGACGAAAGATGAAAAAAAAACATCGAGATAACGTTCGAAAGATAGTACACCCGGGCCTTAAACTTGAAGTAGAAAAAAAATAGAAATAGAAATGGAAAATAATGTCGATTAATTCAGTAGGGAAGTGATAAAACGGTACAAGTCAATTTTGACTATTGACCAGTATTCAATGAATATCTCGGAATCTAAGGGGGATAGCAAAACTTTTGTTATGACCTTTTTTGTAGAGTCGATTGAGAGCTACAACAAACGTAATCACAAAAATTTGGCTATCTCCCTCAGATTCGGAAATATTCCTGAAAAACTCAACTGGGAAATAAGTCGACTTCAACGGTTTCACCACTTCGCTGCTGAATTAATAATTAAAACATGAAAAAATAATTTGAAAAGTATGAAACTTACTTTATTCTCTTGTTCATGTAAGTCTTTCCGCCCCTGAACTCTGCCCCCTCCTTGATCTCGTAGAACTTGGGCTGTTTCACCTGTTTAGCATCCTCTTTCTCTTCAATTTCGTTGTCATCATCTTCGATTTCTTCTTCTCGTCGTTTTCTCTTCAGCTCTCTGTACTTCTTCTTCACTTCCTTCGACCAGGTCTTCTCGTCGTCTGATGACTCGTCGCGTAATAATTCCTCATCTGAACTTCCATTATCTGCAGAAGAGAATCAATAACAAAATATTGAGTGAATTCTTTCAGCAGTCAATTAATCAATTTTAATTTAATATGAAGGACAAAATACAAATCTTTCTGTTTTTTCGAAATAAACGTCATTTTACTTTTTACGAACATTCATTTTTTATTCACCAGGGAATTGAGTAATTCCAAAATTTCATAATATTTCATGCTTGCACTTTTTTTAATTAAGACCCGAATGGATCATCTTCCGAACGTTATCTCAATTGTTTTTCCATCGTCATAATGTAAAATATATCCGAATTTCCATTGGATTATACATCTCGCAGGAGTCCCTAAAAATTATGATTGTACAATCAAAAAAAGTAAAAAAAACTGAACATTTTCCAAGAGCTTTTTTAATAAAGATTAAGAAATAAGTCCGATAGAGAGGAAATAGTGAATGGATAATTTATCATGGTAACTAACGATCTGACAGCCATTGACTACTGTGACAAATGACGATCTAACAGCCATTATATACATCAAATTATTAATTTGCAATTTCCTCCCTATTGTGTTTATTTCCCAATATTATTCAAAAACGCTTTGAAAATGATCAGCTTTTTTTCAACGTTTTTTTGATTGTACAATCATAATTTATGGAGACTCCAGGGCTATGTAAAACTGAATAGCAATTGGAGATCATTTCAGATCATCAAAATAAAAAAAAAAAATCAAGATCACGTTCGAAAGATAATCCACCCGAAATTCTCCATCGAATACTTCTGGTACTTGTAAAAACTGGTGTGACCCATAAATAAAAATGTTCATACGTTCTTTATCCTCATCGAAGGCGTTAGGTTCCCTCTTCCTCTCCTCCTCCTCCCTCTCGATCTCCTTTAGTCTCTTCGCCTTCCCCTTATCCAGCTGGGAAATCACAGGGTTCAGAAGATTGAACTCAACCGAAGTCTTGTCAACCTGGAAGTCTGGGTTCGTGAAGAGGGCCTTGAACCTGTCGTCCTTGAGGATAGTCGCAGCGTTGCTCTTCTTCTTCTTGGCTTTGCTGTCGGCTTCAGTGTCCATGAGCTTGAACGCCAGCTCTTTGTTGACCTAAAAATAATTTCAATAATTTAATAATCGATGGAATGGCAATAAAATGAGAGATGAATCGAATTTTTGATTCGTTGTTCTGATTATCTCGGGGGAGATGGTAAAAAAATGTTAATTATCTCGGTGAAAAGTTCTCCTGTGAAAAATTATCAAAAAACCTTTCCTGTAGAAAATTAAATTCTAGATAAAAAATGAATTTTGTCCTTTTCTTCTAGAATCATTCGTTAACGAGATAATTGAACAGTTGGGATTAGGAAACCAACTGAAGTCAATTCTTTAATCTTCATTCCATTGTTAATTGGTAAAATATCTCGATAACGAGCGATTTTAGGATAAAATGTCAGAAGATATTTTTTATAGAAAAATTTCTCACCTAAAAAAAAATTCTTATGACATCTTCTTCGAAAATGACTCATTAACGAGATAATTTAACAATTGCAATTGGGGAAAATGAGTGAAGTCAATACTAATACCTTCATTTCATCATTAATTGTTTAATTATCTCGATAATGAGTGTTTTCTGGAAGAAATGTCTTCTAACATTAAAAAAAAAATTAAAATCCAATTTCAAGTTTTGTTTCCAAAATAAACTAAAATCCCATTTCAAATCTTCATTCTATTGTCAATTATTAAAATATCTCGCTAATAAGTACTTTTACGATAAAATTTCGGAAAATATTTTTTGTAGAAAATTTTCTCACCTAAAAAAAATTTTTATAACATTTTCCTCTAAAACGACTCATTAACGAGATAATTTAACAATTGCAATTGGGGAAAATGAGTGAAGTCAATACTAATACCTTCATTTCATCATTAATTGTTTAATTATCTCGATAATGAGTGTTTTCTGGAAGAAATGTCTTCTAACATTAAAAAAAAAATTAAAATCCAATTTCAAGTTTTGTTTCCAAAATAAACTAAAATCCCATTTCAAATCTTCATTCTATTGTCAATTATTAAAATATCTCGCTAATAAGTACTTTTACGATAAAATTTCGGAAAATATTTTTTGTAGAAAATTTTCTCACCTAAAAAAAATTTTTATAACATTTTCCTCTAAAACGACTCATTAACGAGATAATTTAACAATTGCAATTGGGGAAAATGAGTGAAGTCAATACTAATACCTTCATTTCATCATTAATTGTTTAATTATCTCGATAATGAGTTTTTTCTGGAAGAAATGTCTTCTAACATTTAAAAAAAAAATTAAAATTCAATTTCAAGTGTTGTTTCTAAAATAAACTAAAATCCCATTTCAAATATTCATTCTATTGTCAATTATTAAAATATCTCGTTAATGAGTAATTTTACGATAAAATGTCAGAAGATATTTTTTATAGAAAAATTTTCTCACGTAAAAAAAATTCTTTACGACATTTTCCTCTAAAACGACTCATTAACGAGATAATTTAGCAGTTGTAATTGAAAAAATCAGCAAAGCCAGCACCAACATCTTCATTTAATTATTAATTATCCAATTATCTCGATAATAAATTGCTTTAGGATAAAATAACTAGAAAAATATTTTTCCTGAACGCATACATCCCCAAAAAATTGGCAAAAATCTCCTAAAATCCTAAATAATACTTCCAAGCCCATCAATTCCCAAAGCGAATAAATATGAATTACCTCAGGCAGTTTCTGTACTTGAACTCTGCTCTTCGCATCTTCATTCAACTTCTCTCGGATCTTCTTCTTCTTGTAATCCTCAAAGGCGAATGGTTTGATGACGTCCCTGGCCTTCCTGAAGAGTCTCACGTCCATGAAGTAGCCGTGCATGTACGCCCTCAGGAGATTCGTCCCAATTAGGTGGGTGAGCCCCAGTTCCTCGAGCTCCTTGTCAGTCACGAACTTGTAGTTGTCGTATATCGTGTCGAAGTTGGACTCCTCGAGCTCCTCGATGATGGTGTCCAGGAATCCACTCCACTTTGGGGCTGGACCCAGACTGGGGACGTAGTAGGTCTGCATTTTCGGGGATTCGTTGGCTAGGAACAGCATTCCAGTCCCGGGGATGGTGCAGAGGTCGTTCAGGTCGTTCTGGGCTTCTATCGACGTGTAAAGCTTCCCCTGGAACGATTGTGTTCAACTTGAATTTGTCTATTTCGAGAGATTATTCACATGAGCTGCGAGACGATGATGCTAATTATTGATTATTGTTACTGCGAGATTTTCATGTGTATCATGTGATATCATGTGATCATGTCATGCTGCACGATATTTCTGGGAGATTTTTTGAGAGACTTTCTATTGATGTTGGCGAGCGATGATTCATTTGATTTTTGAGTTTTTGTTTGCTTATTTATTTTTGGGAAATTACTTGACGAATGAACTTAATGATTTTCACGCTCCTGTTGTGAGATTATCTCAGTGTTCTCTCAGGGATTATACATATATTTATACATGTTTGTGTCTTATGTTCTGTATTGTTTTGTGACTTCGATGGGCACTTCTGCCTGAAGCTCTCAATAAACAATTGGAATTGGAAACAAATTGTCGAAGTGAAAAGTTCAGGCTGGAGCTTTGGAACCAGTGGGGCTAAATGGGCTCGAGACTAGTGTTTTGTGAAGATTGTGAAAATATCCGTTTGTCGTCAGGACAACATTAGATATTGTGCCTCTGCTGCGATTAATTTTGTTTTTAATACATTCATGAAAATGTGAAAATGAAAATTTGCTATTATTAATGTTGCCTTTTACTTTTTTCTTGATATTCTCTTGTGGTTTGTACTATATTTAGCTTCAATTTGTCGGATATTTGGAAAGATTATTCCCATAAATTACGAGATAAGGACGTTAATTATTGTTCATTAAAATTATTCCATAAATAAACTTCATAAATAAGTGAATTAAATTGAAAACGTCAACATGATCCACAAAACCCTTCATTCACCTTCGACCCAATCACTATAATTTATCAGCATTCTCACCACTATTTTTATCAATTACCATTAAACTGAAATTATTAAATTATCAATCAAATTGAGGCCCGGGTGTACTGTCTTTCGAATGTTATTTCGATGTTTTTTTTTTCATCTTTCGTCATCTGAAATTGTCAATCAAGTCCTGCATCATGCAGAAGTTTTGAACAATTATGAATGAATAATCAAAAAAAAGTAGAAAAAATTCTCAATTTTTTCAAAGAGAATTTTTAATTTATATTCAGAATAAGTTGAATAACAAGAAATTGAAAAATGTATCTGATTTACGGTGACAAATGGCGGCCTGTCACCCAATATCATGCAGGGGAAAGACTGATTTCGTAAATCTTTTCCCACACTGCACAGAGACATTTATTACGGAAAAGGCTCTTTGAAAAAAGTTGTAATATTTTGGAGAATTTTTTAATCACACTTTTATCACATAAAAATGGCAGATGACTACATACCACTGTTTTGAAAATTGAGATACCTAGCTGTCACTTCCCATGAGGAGTTAGTGTTTAGTTATCCACCATGGAAAATGACAGCTAATAGATAATTTGCCACAGCGAGTCAGATATTTGTAATTTCCACTTTTTACAACTCATTCTGAATCTCAATTAAAAACGCCCTTTGAAAAAGTTCAGAATTTTCTCTATTTTTTTTATCATTCCATCATAATTTTTGGGAATTTCTACATGATGTAGCACTCAATTGACAATTTTGGATTACGAAAGATTTAAAAAATCCAGATAACATTCGAAAGATAGTACACCCGCGCTTTACACTATAATAACCCAATAGTTAAAAACTCACAGTCTGCTTCTCCCAGATCTTCACAATCGAGCTGTCCATGGAGTAAACCAGATCCATTTTATCATGAAACTCGATATTTCTGATGGGCAGTCCATACATGTGGTCCTTAACAATGAAAGGTCGACTGCTCCTGATGTCGTACATGAGGATCTGTCCGGTGGCAGTGCCCACAGCCATCGTGAGTCCCCCCTGGAACTTGAGGGCTGTCACCGAGGGGACGCCCTCCAGCTTTGTGTCCTGGGTGACGCAGTGGAAGCCACAGTCCAGCGTTCCCACCCTCTCCTTGCTCCTGGGGTCCCAGGCCTCGACCCTCCCCTCCTGCGTCCCCACCGCCAGGAGATTGTGCACCGGATTGATGCTGCACTTGTTCATCGCTGAGGAATCCGAGAGGAAGGGCTTCAGGAATTGGCCCCGCTCTAGGTTCAATCTGTAGATCTCGTTGCTGACTCCCACTATGAAGAGGTCGCACGAGGGGTAGTGGTACTCAAGGTCTCGGCCGAATCGGGGGATTCGCAGGCGGTGGTATTTCCCGTGGGCTGCGTGGAACTCTATGTGTCTGTCGCAGTGCAGGAACACCAGCTGGGGAGGGATTTGGTAGCAGAGGTTTTTAATTTCTTGGGTATTGAAACAAGTGGGTGATTGCATTTTTTGTAAATGAGGAGAGCTATTGTTGGTAATAAATTAACAATTTGCTTCCGAATGGATTCTCTTTCGTTAATTCTTATTTCACTATTCTTTTCTTTGATTTTTTCATGTCATAGTACTATCATCAATTGAAATGTCGTCAAAATTTTGCGTATTATTTCGTTCTGTCAAATAATTCTACATTCAGACCCTCTCAAGACTCGAATTCGTTTTCAGTCCGGGTTTAATCGAGGTTCAATCAAGGTTTAATCACTGGATAGCCTGGATTTAATCAGGGTTTATTCAGGATTTAGCCAGAGTTTAACCCAGGTTCTGTCAGAAGTTAGTCGGGAGCATGAATCAATATGAATGAGTATTCAACGTAATAGACTGCTACCTGAGTTTACTAGAGATAGAGATTTTTATATAAAAAGCTCATGACGGTATTGTGTAACTTGATAAGCAATGATGCTGTTCTCACCATTTTTCAACTTGATTAAGAAGCCATTGAAATATACTTTTCAAGCCCTGATTTAATTGCTGTTACTGATGACTCTTTCAGTAATCATGAAAAAACCCATTTTTTCTTTCAAATCGCATAAACAATGTGCTGCAACTCAACAACCAATTGTACGACCCCCATTATATTCTGATAGAATCAGGAGGGTATTGTTACTAACTTTTTGAGCCATGACTAATTCCATTTTGATGAAAATTTTTTGAATTATCGGTGAAAAATCGATTTTGGGAAAAATATCAATTCGAATGGAAGCTTTGTAATTTAAATAAATTACAAAGCTTAAACTTAACTTTTCGATTGATTGACAAATCATAAAGAAGAAATTGAGCAAATTTTTCCAAAATTTCCCATCAATTTCTGTGGTATTTGAAAAAAGCGGAGTGACTCCCCCTTAATTAGCAGTCAATCAGAGGTCTTGAAATTGTTATCAATGTTTTCACCACTTATCAGTTCAATTCTAGTCTCTACATGATTTCCATTCACGAAATGATGGATATTTTATCACTTACTTTGCTGTAATCCTCGGACAATATCTGAAAAGTCACGACTTCAGAATCGAAGCACCTCTCAAACTTCAAGGAGAGATTATTAACATCGAAACACTTGACTCTGGGCTTGTAAATTCCAGTCGACAGGACATATTGGAGATCTCTGGACACTTTTATCGAGGTACTGACTCCAGGCATGTCGAAATCCTGGATGAGTTCGATACTTCTTCTGATTTCTGTGGAACAAACCCAAAATAAAAAATTTTAAAAACAAATCAATCAATGAATTCTTCACTAAATCAGTGAAAAATGATTAATTGACCATTACACATTTCTTAATTGTGGAATTATCTCGGAAATGAGTGGATTTATAGAAAAACATCACAATTTTTTTTTGAAACTCATAAAATGCATTATAAAAATTTTTTTTCAATATTTTCTCCTAAACTTGTTCATTAAAGAATTCATTAACGAATTAAAACAATAAACAACTATTCAAATGTTTAATTATTCCAACAATGAAGGATTTTATTTTGAAAAATCCAAAGAACTTTTTTAAATTCATAACGAAATTCTTGTGAAATTTTCTCTAAATTTTCCACAGAAATAACACATAATCAAATCATCAAATTAAACATGAGATCGATAAATAACTTTATTTATTCTTTTACTATCCCAGTAACTATAGATTTTATTAAAAATATATTGAAAAACCTTTCTTGTAGCTCATCAGAAAATTCTCCAAAAAAATATTAGCACATCTTGAGCGAGATATACAGAACAAAAACGACGAAATGTTGTCATTAATTAATTTGTAACTAAACTAAAACCACTAATTGGCCATTAAAAATGACTAGAAACCGTTGAATAAATTATTTCAACCACTCACCAACATTTTTCTTCAACAATGCCCTCCTTTTCCTCTCTGACAGCCACTGAAATCCATTAAATGACTGATAAATAAGCGAATAAATCCATAATCATGAGTGGAAAGTGCATTTGCTTGGAATATTCCCCAGACTCAATTTATTTATAACCTAAATAACAGATTAATTTATCGATCTCACCTCTGGAAGAGTTTTTCCTGCACTGAGGTTGTAGATTTTCACGTTGTTGGGGCTGGAGACCTGCATTTTCGTTAGTTCCAATTGTTGCAATTGGTGAGAGACCTTTATTTATGTTCCAACAGCATAATTGAAGAGTTGAGCATAACCAAGACTGTTTGATGGGCTCCGGACGCATGGAGACACGAGAACACGTGGTTCGATGATGCACCCCCATTCCAGTGGCTAGAGACACTTATCAGTGCGCAGCGGCTCATACTCGGCAAGTTTTGTCAATTAAAGTAGTATGGTCACTCTCCAAAGTGATCGTTGAGTGTCCGCCAAGAAAATCTAAAAAAATTAATCAAAAAACTATGATTTATAATTGAAAATTCTCTTTGTGAATTATAAAATTTATGAATATAAGAATTAATCGATTATTTTTATTATTTTTCACTTATTAGTCAAATAATGTACCTCCTTTGACTAGCGTCGTTTTATGCGTGGCAACGCTGTAAATTAACAGCGTAGGGAAAACGAGATTTGAAATGCCCGCTTGTCCCCACTCCACTAACACGTCGTTGCCGCATCTACTCGACACGCAATTTCCGAACACCGAGGAGCCGAAATTATTTATAACTAAAGTCCCAAACGGTCAATAATTTTCATCGATGGTCGTAAATTTTTGTTTTTTTTTCCCATTTTTTGGTATTTTTTTATAATTTAATCTTGGATTTATCATAAAAACCACCCAAAATGTGATTTGCCCATAAGACTTTGTGTTGAAATCTAGTTTTTCATTAATTTTTATCAACCATACTAAACGATCAATGTACCACAAATCGCACCAGGAGGATTTTTATTGATATTAACTTTCATAAAAAAATTATTTCATATTTTAAACTTGGAAATCGATCCGTAACCATAGTACTTTAAGGATCATCGGACTAGGAGTAAAAGATTCAAAAAGTGCAGCCAATTTTATGAACATTTTTTCACATATTATTGAATCGATTTAGACACCGTTTCCAAAATTTGAGAAACCCCAGGAGCAAGGCAACAACAAAAGTGATTTTTAAAGTCGCTGCTTACACATGAGGTTAAGGATAATCGGGAGGGTTGGAAAAAAAGCAGCCATTTTTTTACGTATTCTTCAAATTATGGAAAAGGCGTGTGCAAAGTTTCAGACTGCTGGGGAGCATGGTTAATTTATTATGAATTTTTGAAAAAGTCATTTAACCCGTGATCTTATGGAAATCACCGAAAAAACTGCAAAACCCGAGGAAAAAATGCAGCCAAAGTCATGAAACTTTAGACACATTTAGAACATGTGATTAATGATTTTTTGAGTGAAAAAGATTGTCGCCTAGGAGCGTTGTTTATTAATAATAGCGAAAAAAGTACTGAAAAATGAAATTTCTGCGCACGCAGCCCAAACGAGCAGCAACGTCCGAAGTACCGATCGGGTGAGGGTAGCGCGGTCAATTTAAACGTCTCTTGAGAGAGAGCGATGAAGCGTTGTGATTGGAGCTCCCTCGAGCCAGTGGAACCAGCTCCTGGTGAAAAAAAAACTACCGACGATGTTGCCACTTTTTCGCATGGATTAATAGTTTTTCATTTATTAAAAAAAAACAATCTGAAAACCATTCAATGCGTGGAACAGATACAAATAAATTTGATTAGCTCCAAAAATAATTTTTAACCGGAGATACTCTCTAATATTGCCTGAATTTTGAATCCGAATGGGAAAAATTTTTTTGTTCAGCGATTGGTTTTCTGCAGGAAAACAATAGAAACCCCTCCACCTCACCTCCTACATTTCCTCCTCGCCCGATTATCCTTAAAGTAGCTCTACCTTCAGGCCGGGTTACGCTGTACTTTAGGATATTTTCAGTTTTAAAATTTTTCAACTAAATTGCATGGAAAAAAATTGAAAAAATTCATACCCAGTTAGTATTATCTAAATTAAATTTCGCAACATATTGATATTCTTTCAAACATGTCCCTCTTATAGATAAATAATAAAACTTGTTTGCAAAACGGTCAGATTTTAATCCTTGATTACAACGGAAATGTTGATTTTCACATAAGACCCTGGGTTAAATCCTCATTTTTAAACATTTCTTCTTTGAAAAACCAAAACGATAATTAAATTGAGAAAAAAATTGGAATTCCGAATCTAATCGAGTTTTCTGCAATTTTTTGCACTTTTCAATAATCTTTGAATTTACCGTAAGGCTAGAGCTATTTTAACTATATCCCTGGTGAAATAGATTGCTACCATTTTTCTTACTATCTATTTTCTTATTGTCAAACTATAGCTATATTTCCACTCGGTTTTATAATGTCTATACTACTTTGTAAATACCTGGCCGAAGGCCCTCGGGCAATAGCCAGTTGCGAGTTCGCGGACTTGTAACGAATTCCGTTAAAAATAAATAAAATAGATTGTTGCCAAAAAAAAGTAACACCAATTTTTTTACAGAAGATTTCGAGAGATTAAATTTCAAATTTCAAATTTCACCGGTTTTTCGTTGCAAGGATTAACTTGCCAACGCGGCCATCGCCCGAGGGCCTTTAGCCAGGGAATGTTGAATGTGGAGTGGATTTTTCAGTTGAAAATTCCGTGGAATATTCGGTTTGAAAATTGTGTTGAATTTTCAGTTGAATATTATGTGGAAAATTGTGATGAAAAATTGCTGTGGAATTTTGGGCCGGCCGGGGCTCGAACCTGGGAGCTTGAGGTTGTGAATCTTATGCTTTTTTTTTTTTCAATAAATATTTATTAACGATTGATATATCTTTATACATATGTTGCTTACGTCTATATATATAAAAAATGTTCATTGTCTTTTGTTGGTGCGTAGTCCCTACTTGTATAATTAACAAAAGTTTAACCTACTGTTTTATATTTTACTGGTACATTTTGAGGTAAGATGTGTTTACATTTACTGGTGGTAAAATTAGTTGATGACTCGTGTGCGCCGATGTGATTATGAATGTGTTTTTTGTTGGAAAACTTTTAATAAAAACCAACTTGTGGGACTTCTCAAATACAAAGATTATTCATTTGATTTCTGATTTTTTATTGGCACATTAATTTCTCACAAATTAATCGACGAATGAACCTCAAGATTTCGCGCCTCGTTCCGAGTTCATCTCCGTGTTCCCTTAGAAATGATACCCCAATTTCCCCGATTCTTCTTTTCTATTCCCCCGGAATTATGAAAATGTGACCTGGGAGGCGTTAAATATTCGTAAAAGGGGGTGATGAGTCAGCCCATGTGCCCCGTAGTAGTGCTGCAAAGTGCCAACTTGGCCCGCGAGGACAAGTAGCCCGACGAAAAAGGTGGAGTGAGAGATAGACAGTCATGGTCGGAGAGAGAGGTAATGGAGGGGAGAAAGACGTAAACGCATCCCAACGTCACCGGTTTTCCATCGTCATTGTACACCTCATGGCCATTACTGGATTCCATGACTCATAATATTATTACGAAGAATGGCTCTCATTAAATATTACTTATAATAAAGTCATCTTCAACGGTTGCTACTTCATTAGCCTCGATAGATGTTGAAATTCCACTGAATTTCGTCAACTTTTTTTCGCTTAATTTAATTGCTTTTTTATTTGATTTCCCTGTCGATTTTAATTCGATTTCTTATCTTGTTTTATTCTTTCTATTAAAATTGGATTATGAAAATTTAATTTTTCAATTTTCATTCCAAAATTCTCCGTAAATAATTCTCCGTAATAATTTTGTCCCCATTCCCGGATTCAAGAATTACATCAAGAATGAGTTTATCTTATATAATTTTTAGTCAAATCTTTTGGAAAAAATAAGTTGCGAGAAAAAATTGCGTTAATTTTTTCTTCATTGTGGATTAGGAATTGAATCAAGAAATTGTTTTTCTTTTATAATTTCCGTTCAAGAATTACTGAGAGAGTTATTTCCTACGGGTTCTTCTTTTCAGGATTCAATGCAGGAGATCTTCTTAAATAATTTTCTTTGTATTGTTGACTCAGGAATTGAATCAAGAATTCCAAAACAACTGATTTCCTTCATTATCGACAAGAATTCTTGAATCCTTCATTTCAGAATTAAATTAAGGCATCGCCTTTCTTCAATAATCGTCATTCCAAACTTTTTGAGAATTTCTTGTAAATTACTGCTTTAAAGCTGCAATAAAAAATAATAGTTCCATTCTTTAATAATTATGAATTTAAAGATTGAATGAAGAATTCCAAAACAACTAATTTCCCTCATTAGCGACAAGAATTCTTGAATCCTTAATTTCCGGATTAAATGAAGGCATCGCCTTTCTGCAATAATCTTCATTCCAAACTTTTCGATAATTCCTTTTAAACTGCTGCCTTAAAAATTGAATCAAGAATTCCAAAACAACTAATTTCCCTCATTATCGACAAGAATTCTTGAATCCTTAATTTCAGGATTAAATTAAGGCATCGCCTTTCTTCAATAATCTTCATTCCAAACTTTTCGATAATTCCTTTTAAATTGCTGCCTTAAAAATTGAATCAAGAATTCCAAAACAACTAATTTTCCTCATTATCGACAAGAATTCTTGAATCCTTAATTTCAGGATTAAATTAAGGCATCGCCTTTCTTCAATAATCTTCATTCCAAACTTTTCGATAATTCCTTTTAAACTGCTGCCTTAAAAATTGAATCAAGAATTCCAAAACAACTAATTTCCCTCATTATCGACAAGAATTCATGCGTCCTCAATTTCAGGATTAAATTAAGGCATCGTCTTTCTTCACCAACCGTCATTCCAAATTTTTTGGGAATTGCTTCTTTTAAATTATTTCCTTAAAAATTGAATCAAGAACCATAGTTTCCTCGAGCCCCCGCGTCGCTCAAAAAACCGCTCCCTCTGACCCCAACCTGACCCGACCCCTCCCAAGCAGTTGGCAGCCCTGTCGTCTGCTCTCCCGGCGGCCCCTCCACCCGCTCTATCCCACCCAGCGCAAGAGAGAACCGCCAAACATGGCGTCACCCCCCGCCGTTGCTCGCAAGAGAGACAAAAGCCCCCTCCCCCACCAGTTCCCCTAAAAAAAGGTGGGGGAGACGTGCGGCGTGTCGGTTGGTGAGTCTTCCTAGCGCTCCCTCCAATCAGTAGTCTCTCGAGACGTGAGTCGAGTCAGTCGACGGGTCCTCCCCAAGTATCCAAGTGTCTCCCGTGGATTTATACCCCTTAAAAACCGAAATAAACGCCGACAGATCCCCAACCCCAAGCGATCAACAGAAAAACTGTTGAGTAAATTGGATTAACAGTAATTAATCTTGTTTACTTAACGCCACAGGCCACAGTTGAGTGGACAAACAATTAATACTGAGTCAAATTAATTGATTAATTTGATTTGCACGGAGTTTCGGAGGAGTTGAGGGGATTATTTTGTGGTGTTTTTTTAAATTTTTTTAAAAACAAACAACAATGAGCTGGCAGGATTACGTTGACAAGCAGCTGCTCGCATCGAGATGCGTTACGAAGGCGGCTATTGCCGGCCACGATGGAAATCTCTGGGCTAAATCCGAGGGCTTTGACGTGAGTTACTCCCCTTAGTACCTGATATTCACCACTTCACGTGCCCAAAAACCGTTTAAAATTGCCAAATTAATTGTTAATTAATTGTCAACGAGAAGTTGCCGACGATTTTCGTTGAAATGTTCGCGTTTTTACCGAGTTTTTTATTTTTTCGGGGGGGCTAAAGCTCGCGGAAAAATCGGAAAAAATTCAGGGGGTGTCGGGACACCTCGGGGATGCCTCCTGAATTTTTTGAGAATTTTTGAAAGTGTCTGGGGGGGGATTTTGGGGGGTGGGTGATGGTACTTAATCCGGGATTTTTGAGGGAACGCTTTGGGATCGCGAGGCTCGAGGCACAGCTGCGCACGCCATGACTTCTCCATCTCACTTTGACTCTCTACGGGCTCGTCAAGGTCCCCGTGCCGGCAATCCACGATTTTCTAACCCCGAAAGCTCCATTTCGGGCGATTATTTCGGTGAAAAGTGGATTTTTTCGTTGTTAAAACGATTAATTCTCGGGGAAAAGTCGGGTTTTCTGGAGTTGCCACGTGCCCCCCCTCGTGTCTCCACCATCTTTCGTCGTTCTGTTACACTCCTGGGGGTCCCCAGACACCCCGAGAATGCGACGAGAATTTTTTTAATCGATTTAAAGGCCCGCAATCTCGGGAAATCGTGGGGAACAAATTTTTTCGCTCTCGGAAATTCTCGTTTTTCTCGTTTTTTTCCTTTATTCTCGCCTCCTCACCTCCACGAGGGCGTGCGCGCATCGATCGCATCCACTCTCTCTCTCTCTTTCTCTCTCTCGTCTCCTTTTGACCGGCTCTAGAGCATCCGAGGGCAACCGCAAGTTCGAGAATTCGAAAAAACCGATTTAAAAGTTTTTTTTACGATTTTTCACGTTTTTTCGGGTTTCTCGGGGATTTGTCGGCGGCTTGGGGCGGGGGTGGGTCTGGGGGGGCTCTCAGAGACACTCGGGGTAACTCGGATACAGAAGGAGTGAAGATTCAACGACAAAGAGGGTGTGGCAAGAGAGTGCCGGCACAGAACACCGAATATTTCGCCAATCGATTCCAACGGTTTTCATTTTTAACACGAGATTTGTCGAGTTTTTTGGATATATGCAACATGGCGGGTAGGGTCACCGTGTTTTTCAAGGCGACAGAATTTTTTTAGATTTTTTTTCTCCCATTTTTACCTGAAATTCCGGATTTTTTGAGTTAAGTCATTAATTAATCAATTTAAATTGACTATTGATTTAATGGGATTTAAATGTTCGTCATGTCTGTCATGTTTATGAATAAATATCTCGTATTTTTTAAACCGGTAACTCGAATACTTCAGTTCTGACTCATTTCAACGAAAATTGACATTTTTTTAAAGGAATTAATTTGGTAACTGAATTTCAATTGAAATAAAAAAATTTAACACTCGATTTGTCGAGTTTTTCGGTTATATTCGACATGGCGGATAGGGTCACCGTGTTTTTCAAGGCGACAAATTTTTTTTAGATTTTTTTTCTCCCATTTTTACTTGAAATTCCGGATTTTTTGAGTTAAGTCATTAATTAATCAATTTAAATTGATTATTGATTTAATGGGATTTAAATGTTCGTCATGTCTGTCATGTTTATGAATAAATATCTCGTATTTTTTAAACCGGTAACTCGAATATTTCAGTTCTGACTCATTTCAACGAAAATTGACAATTTTTTTTAAAGGAATTAATTTGGTAATTGAATTTCCATTGAAATAAAAAATTTTAGTACTCGATTTGTGGAGTTTTTCGGTTATATTCAACACGGCGGGCAGGGTCAGCATGTTTTTCAAGGTGACAGAATTTTTTTAGATTTTTTTTCTCCCATTTTCACCCAAAAGTCACGATTTTTTAAATTAATTCATTAATTAATCAATTTAAATTAATTGTTAATTTAGGGGTTGAAGTGGTCGTCATGTTTGTCATGTTCATGAATAATTAAATAGATAATTATCTATTTAAAATTGCCTATCCTCCCTCTACTCTCCTAAAAATCTACCTGTTTCATCTTTCCATTTTATTTTTTCAGTCAACACAGAGAGAATATAAAATTAAAAATTACAATGTGAACATAGTAATCGAGGACCATGCACTGAGAGAAAAACAAACATGTTGTCGAACAAGTCTTGTTTGGGCCAACAAAATCGCTAGTTGAAAATTGCCAAAAAAGAATTTGTTTGGTTCGAATTTAAAAGTCTCAAACATGAATAATTGTTCTGCTTTCGACAGCAACGAAATATTTGGCTCAAGAGGCGGATAATTCACACCAGACGGTGCCTTTTCAGGGTGAAAACATCTCATATAGAGGAAAATTTATCAACAAATATTTTATCCATAAGTTACAAGATCGCTATCATATGATTATTATTGTTTCATTTAAGGGTTCATTTCTTGTTTGTGATTATTAGACAGCCGAAACGAAAAACGTATGGGAGTATCGAATAGCGAAGGAGTAGTGCTAGAAATGACATTTCTTGCGTGTACAGAGAATGCAATTTTTTTTCAACTACTAAATCTATTTTTGCGACAAAAATTTTTCATTCCGGCGCACTCTCTGCATGTTTGGCACAAAAAAATCCTTTTTGGATAATTTTCAAAAAACTATTTTCTCGGCACAAGTAAGACTTCTTTGAAACTTTTGTCGTTTTTCTCTCAGTGTACTGAAACAACTTTAAAATTTGATTTATCTTAACCGAATTTTTACTCGTCTCCAAACAGGGATGGCCAATAATATTAGCAGGATTATCTCCTTATATTGTTCAAAGTTTAACTCTATTTAACAAATTTAAAATATTAAGAAAATTTAATAACTAAATTTTCCAATTGATGGTGAATAAAATATTTGATAATATTGAAATGTAATTTTTTTGTTAACAAGATAATTCTAATTTTAGGTACTTGATTGTCGATTATCCAAATAATCGTCAATCTTCCTACCTAAATTATTGGTTAATAGAATACTTCAACATTTAAATATACAAATTGGATAATTTAATATTTAAAATTTTTAAGATTTATGTTAAAAATTGACAACTTCACAATTTAACGGTAATTATGATTGATGAATATGCCTATCCCTGGTCTCAAATGAAATTTTACTTCAGTAGCGAAGTGGTAAAACCTCAGTTGAGTTTTTGAGGAATATCTCCGAATCTAAGAGAGATATCAAAAATTTTGTAATCACATTTGTTGTAGAACTCAATCGGCTCTATAAAAAAGGTAATAACAAGAATTTTGCTATCTCCCTTAGATTCCGAGGAATTAATTGAAAACTGGTCAATAGTAAAAAATGACTTATACCGTTTCACCACTTCGCTACCGACTTCTATTCCTCCACTTTCTACTTCACCAACTCGTAATTTTTACCATGTTCGACAGTAAATTTTGCGTGTGGCGAGTCCTCAATTATGTTCACATAATAAAAAGTAATTTTATATTTTTTCCGTGTATTTTGTGGTGGGAATATATTCAAATGCATTCTTCGCTACCAAATACTTCGATAGACAAACAATCAATTAAATAAAAAATTCAAGGAAGAAGTATCTGACTGTGCTGCATCACCGGGAATTTTTCCAAAATTTTCCCA